TTCAGGATTCCAGAAGAATTTCCTACTAGGCAACACACAGCCACCACACTTTCCTATGAACCAGAGAGGGCAAAAGAAGCCAAGGAACAAAACACCCACCCAACAAAAAAAGACAAGATATCAGCACCTAGGATAACAATCTTCCTAAAACCAGATGCTTAGATACCAGTGAAAAAACGCAGTTAAAAACTAGGACAATATGTCTCCACTAGAGACTAGCAACCCTACCCCAGCAGGCCCTGAGTACTGCAACATAGCTAATACAAAAACTATGCCGGAAATGTGGAATACTATGAAAAGACCAAATCAAAGAAAAATAGAAACAGAGGAAGAGGAAACAACCCAGGTCAAAGACACAGAAAACATTTTTAGTAAAAACATAGACAAACATTTCTCTAATCTAAAGGAGATGCCTATCAAGGTACAAGAATCACATACAACACCAAAATAGGCTGAACCAAAAAAGTCCCTTTAGCACACAATAGAGCAAAAAACCTACAAAACAAATAAAAATATTAAAAGCTGCAAGGTAAAGTGACTATGTAATACATAAAAGCAGACCTGGTAGAATAACTGACTCTTCCATAGAGAAAACATCAAAAGGGTCATCTACCACGATCAAGTAGGGTTCATCCCAAGGATGCAGGGATGGATCAACAAATGAAAATCGGTAAATATGATTCTCCATATAAACACACTGAAAGACAAAAACCACATGATAATCTCATTAGATGCAGAAAAGACTTTTGACAAAATTCAACATCCTTTCATGATAAAAGTCCTGGAGAGATTAGGGATACAAGGGACATATTTCAACATCATAAATGCAGTTTACAGTAAACCCATAGCCAACATCAACTTCAGTGGAGAAAATCTCAAAGCAATTCCACTAAAATCAGGAACAAGCTAAGGTTGTTCACTCTCTCCATATCTATTCAATATAGTACTTGAAGCCTTAACTAAAGCAACAAGACAACTGAAGGAGATAACAGGATACAAATAGAAAAGGAAGAAGTTAAAGTACTTGTATTTGCAGATAATATAATATACATAAGTGACCCTAAAACTTCCACCAGAAAACTACAGCTGATAAACACTTTCAACATAGTAGCTGGATACAAAATTCAGTATCCTTCCTATGTAAAAATGTCAAACAGACTGAGAAAGAAATCAGAAAAATAACACCTTTCACAATAGCATCAAATAATATAAAATATCTTGGGGTAACTCTAGCAAAGCAAGTGAAAGACTTATGGATTCAAACTTTTAAGACACAGAAGAAAGAAATTGAAGAAGATATCAGAAGATGGAAAGATCACCACCCATGCACATGGATTGGTAGAATTAATACAGTGAAAATGGCCATCCTATCAAAAACATCAAAATTCCAACACAATTCTTCACATCTTGAAAGGACAATTTACAGTTTCATATGAAAATACAAAAAAAAAACCCAAGAGAGCTAAAAAAACAAATTGAATAATAAATTAACTGTTGGAGGTATCACCATCCCTGATTTGAAGTTATACTACAGAGTTTTAGTAATAAAAACAGGATGGTATTGGCACAAAACCAACCATATTGATTAATGGAATTAAACTAAGGCCAAAACATAAATCCACACACTTATGGACACCTGGTTTTTGAAAACGAAGTCAAAAATACACACTGAAGAAAAGACACCATTCAAAAAATGGTGTTAGTAAAACAGGAAGGTCGCATGTAGAGCAATCCAAATACATGCATACTTAGTGTCTTATACAACACGCAACACCAAATGGATCAAAGATCTCAACATAAAACCAGATACACAGAACCTGACAGAATAAAAATTAAGGGATAGTCTTGAACACATTGGCACAGGAAAAGGTTTTTCTGAACACAACACCATTACCACAGGCACTAAGATCAGCAATTAATAAATGGGGCTTCATGAAACTGAAAAACTTCTGCAAAGCAAAGGACACCATTGTCTGGACAAAGAACCAGCCTTCAGAATGGGAAAAACATGTTGGATAGAGGGCTAATACCCAAATTATGTGAAGAACAACAACAACAACAACAAAGAAACCCCAGCCTCGATAGCAAGAAAACAAGTAATCCAATTTTAAAATGGGGTAAAAACTTTGATGAACAAATGCACATTCATCTTTAGCCATTGTTCAACATAAAGCACCTTAGAAGACCTTGATCTACATCAGATTGCCTAGGACAGTGCTGCCTATGTTTTTGTGTTGGCAACATTAGTAATGAAATCAATTTCATTATCAAAATTACCCTTGTTTCAGGGGTTTGTGGAGTTGGGGTAATATTAGTGAAAGGATATAAAGGTTGTGTCTGACATTAGGGATAAATTATGGCAATCTATTGTAAAGGGTGATGATTATCATTATGTTATTGAAAACTGCCCAGTGAGTATATTTTAATGTTCTTACTACAATAAAAGACATAAAGTGATGTAAAAAAGTGGGGTACAAATCTAAACAGAATTCTCCACAGAGAAAACTCAAATGACTGGGAAACACTTACAGAAATGTTCAACATCCTAGCTATTAGGGAAATGCAAATTAAAACTACTTTGAAACTTCATTTTGTACCTGTCAGAATGGCTAAGATCAATAAAACAAGTGACAGCTTATGCAGGCAAGGATGAGGAGTATACGGGGAACATTCATCCATTGCTGGTGGGAATGCGAACTTGTATGGCTACTATGGAAATCAGTGTGGTGGTTGCTCAAGAAAATGGGGATATATCTATCTTATGATCCAGCTATACCAATCTAGGGCATATAACCAAAGAATGCTTCATCCTACCACAGAGACACTTGCTCAACCATGTTCATTGCTGTTCTACTCATAACAGCCAAAAATGTAAACAACCTAGATGTCCCTCAAAAATGGACAAAGAAAATGTGGTACATTTACACAATGAGGCATTACTCAGCTGCTAAAAAAAAATATTAGAACTAGAAAAAACAGCCGGGCGTTGGTGGCGCACGCCTTTAATCCCAGCACTCGGGAGGCAGAGGCAGGAGGATCTCTGTGAGTTCGAGACCAGCCTGCACTACCAAGCGAGTTCCAGGACAGCCTCCAAAGCCACAGAGAAACCCTGTCTCGAAAAACCAAAAAAAAAAAAAAAAAAAAAAAAAAAGAGAACTAGAAAAAAAGCATCCTGAGTTAGGTAACCTACACCTAGAAAGAAAAATATGGTATCTATTTGCTTATATATGGATATTAGCTGGTAAGTCAATGATAACCAAGCTACAATCAATAGAACCACAGATGTTAGGTATAGATTAAGGGACAAAGGGAGAGGGGTAGAGAGGAAATAGACTAGACAGTTATGGATGGAGGAGGTAGGGTGGAGCAGGAGGATCAAGTGGGAAGGGGAAGGGAAGAGGAGGGTGAGAGAGGGAATACTGTGAGAGACAGCAAAAATTAAGAAACCTAATACAGTGGAAACTTCACATATATGAACGTGATCTAAATGAAACTGCCAAATAATGGGCAGACAGAGTCCCAACTAGACATCTCTTGTCACCAAATGAAGCTTCCAGTACTGGGATTGGATTACATCTAATTGAGTTGTTGGTCAAAGGGGTCCCATGGGAATCCCCAAACAATGGAGACTGATGCAAGGACTATAGGTTGCTCTCCACAAACTGGCAGCAAGGCCCCACTGCTGAATACAACACCTACGCCACTCATTGAACATGGAGTAGTAAAGCTGGTGGCAACATAGAGACTTCACCCTTATGTTCTAGTGTCTTTGATACAGAAAGATACTCTGTATACTACCAAAAGGGAAACATAAACAACACCGAGCCACATTCCTGTGATCTTCAATGGTATCCTGCCAACAAGATATGCTATGTCAATGGTGGCACAAAGCTTATGGAAATAACCCACCAACATCTGATTTGATTCAAGGCCCACTCCATGAGATGGAACCCTGCTTAAATGACCAAGAACCTGAAACTAGATAGCCCAAGACCCTAGAGTAAAACCAAACACTAATGTTGTTTTTAAGTAGCAATAAAATAACTTCTAATAACATTCTTCTGTATTCATAGATCAATGTCTTGCTCAGTCATCATCAGAGACCCACAGCCCCTGTGCAGAGAGTGAAAGACCTTGAAACATTTCAGTCCTAAATGGGATGTTTTCACCAAACCCTCCCCTCAGGGCTCAGGGAACCCAGAAGACAAGGAGACGAAAGAGTATAAGAGCCAGAGGGGATGACAGACAGCATGAAAGCAGGCCCTCTAAGTCAACACGAGCAAAGCTCATATGAACTCACAGAGGTGGGCCAGCACCCACAGCGCCTGCACAGGACTGCACCAGGTCCTTTGAGTATAGAGTGTGGCTTCCAATTTAGAGTTTTCATGGGATTCCTGAGTGTGCAAATGAGTGGATCTCGGTTTCTTGTGCCTTCTCCTGGGCGCTTTTCCTTTTGTTTGTTTCTTTTATCCAATTCCAATGTTTTTGTTTGTTTGTTTATCTTATATATTGAATTATTATCCCCCCTAAGCCTGTTTATATTCTAATGAGAGAGAGAAAGGGAGTAGATTAGGATGGAGGAGAAGAGGGAAGGAACTGAGAGAAGTGGAGGGAGGGGAAACTGTAACCCATATATATTAACTTGAGAAAAATCTATTTTTAATAAAAGGGGGGAAGGGAGTTCTCTTCTTTGAAAAGTGTACAATGGCATACAGCAGCCTTCTCACTTCACCCAAAACCACAGGTAGATACCTGGGAAATGGACTTGCCTTGAAAGCAGGCATATTTATGTCTTTTCTCGACTATTTCAAACATTTAAAACAGTCCCTGGCACAAAGAGACAACAATGCTGAGTGAGCACGTTTATTAGAGCCTATAAATGCCACCTCATATACTACATGGATATTGGTGCAATAGGAAGCAGGTCCTTTTACTCTCTTCCCTTGATAGATTTTTTTAAAAAAAGGAAGTTTCAGGAGAATAAGAACAGTGCACACAGTGCTCACTTCGGAGGCACATATTGAAATTTGAAAGATACAGAGAATATTAGCAAGGCCTCTGCTCAAGGATGACACACAATTTGTGAAGTGTTCCATATTTTTGACATATAAAGGAAGACCTATAAGAATTATACCTAACTTCTCAATGGAAACTCTAAAATTCAGAATGACCTGGAGAGATGTCTTGCAAACTCTAAGAGATCACAGATGCCAGCCCAGACTAATATACCCAGAAAACGTGGAGAAAAAAATTCACAGCAAAATACTAGCAATAAATAGTCTCACACCAGCCAAACCCACAGAAGGGAAGTGCACACACACACACACACACACACACACACACACACACACACACACACACACACACACTACCAACACCACCACCACCAACAACAACAACAAAGTAACACTGGTCATTAATGTCTCTCAACATCAATGTTTTCAATTCACCAATAGAGTCAGAAGTTTGTTATTTATTAGACATTACACTGAAGCAAAATAATCCGTCTAAATCAATGTAGTTATATGCTGAAGTTCAGTCTTTCTTTTAACCTACTCATAACTAGACTGTATCTTTACTATTTGGATTGAGAACACCAGAAGAACATGGCCCACAGAATCAACTAAGCAGGACTCATAGGAGTTCACAGAGACTGAAGCAGTGACTGTGGAGCCTGTATGGGTCTGCATTAGGTCCCTAGCATATGTGCTATGGTTGTTTAGCTTGGAGTCTTTGCGAGACTCCTAACAGTGGGAGTGGGGTGTCTCTGACTCTTTTGTCTGCTTTTAGGACCCTTTTTCTCCTGTGGGTTGCCTCATCCAGACTATTTTTATTGCATCTTTTTATGCTATATTCAGCTGGCATCACTGGGAGGCCTGCTCTTTTCTGAGGGAAAATGGAGGAGCAGTAGATCTGGGGGGAAAAGCAAAGGGATCCTGGGAAGAATGGAGAGAGGGAAGGCTGAGGTCAGGATGTATTGTATGATTGTATGAGAAGCAAAAACAACAAACATACAAGCAAACAAAAAACCCAGATGCACACAGCCAAAGAGAAAAAAATAAAGGCAGATTTGTAACCTGGGTCTGAGTGTTTACAGAACTGAATTCATCATAATTTTACCTTTCTGAACAATAATTGGTAAGAGAAATACATTTAATAGCTAAAAGAAAAAATGCACTATTATACATGTTTATGGACTCTCAGGCTCACAAAGTTTACAGTGAGGATATAGTTCTACATCATATGTTTTTCCAACTACCAATTTTTCCTATAATTATGTTGCCTAGTCAGGACCTTTCCAGTTAAAGTGACCAATACAACTTTGAACTGACTGAGAAAAAAAGAGGAATTTACTAAAATAGCATGGAAGTATCTGTGACTAAAACGAATTGTGCAAAGAAAACAAGACATTATTAGGACTAGGTCATTTTTCTCTGTAAGTCGCATCTCTTTCTATGGGTCAGATTAATCTTCTCTCATTGCAGATTGCCTTTTCCTCATGTAATGGAAAGATGTAACTATCAGAGTTATGGAGCTCACTGTACATCTAAAATACTAGTTGAGTCAAATTCAAATTTATCAGGCAAGATTCCAATGTTTCCAATTAAGTAAGTGGGTAGCTGTACTTATTCCTGAAGTGTATACCTGGAACCAAGCGGGATGTTACACATTATGAATGGAGAATGAAAATTCCAGGAAATGTTTGCTTAACCACTATATCATAGATGTCCACTGCCCCAACAAGCCAAATTTTCTTCCATAAAACTATTAAATGTAGATCCATCTACAGATATAACTGACTGTTTTGGCAGTTGAACTTTTGTTGATAATGCTGTTACCTTACTGGTTTATTTATTTATAGTGTAAATTATTCCAAAAAGAATTTAATAAAGGAAGGAATACATTAAATGATATCAGAATACAAATTAAATCTAAAACAAAACAGGTAGAATCAGGATAGCAACAGAATGAAACCATAAATAATATATTCTATAAGGCAAGTATATACATTTACTCTAAGAAAGTTGCAAAATGTGAGTCTTCCAGTAACTCTGTTAATAATGTAACTGCTAACACACATTAGGTAGTAAGCTGTTACTTAAGAGACATAAAACATTCTGTGAAGAATGTTCGCCTGTACTGCCATCATGAACAGATAGGAACTTCTGCTGAAAATCTTCACTTGGTCTACATATACCAGCCCTAAAGACAGAGTGACTATGCGACCAAGGAGAGACCTGCCACCTTGGTAGTACCTTGTAGAATGATTTGAACACAGGGTAGATAAGGATGACAACTTTAAGAATATTGAGATGAAAGGTTCAGACAAAAGAAACAATAAAAATGTCAGAAATGTAGCTTGTCTTTAAGGAAAGGCAAGAAGGTTAATGTTTTTGGGAGTTGACTAAGAATGAAGTAGAAGAGCCCTTAGAGGTAGTAGCAGACCATGGTAGGCATAGTAACTCACAGGGAAGACAGGGTACTGAAATGAAACCACTGGAGGGGTTTCAACAAATAATAGACATGAACCTAATGGTTATGAAAGGATGCCTCTAGCTGCTTCCTGGAAAATAGACCTTTAGGAGGTAAGAGAGGAGCTAAGTGGAGAGGAGATTCCATAAATCCAATTAAGAGACAAAAATAATTTGGGAACACTGGAGGTGAGACTGTGGGATGCATTTTGGATGTACACTAAGCAGGATTTTCAGACTAAATGAGAGGAGTGGAGATTCCATTTGGAAAGTGGTACCTAACAATCATGATGCAACACTAGTAAGCTCATACTCTGATAAAGGTATTCAACTCATCAGCAAGAGACAAAGATTTTGAAGTATAAAATAGGCAGATGAATTCTATTTAGCTTGAAAACCTTACTTTCTCTTTGTTACCTTAACTGCTCATGGTCAAAAGTAAAAATTTTAGCCACTAAAGAAAATGTTTCAAAGAGTTAAAAAAAATGTCCATTAGTTTTACAGAGTGCCTTGTCAAACCTGGATATTGCCTCTCTTAAAAAGGGCTAAAGTGGCTCCCTCCCCCCAACCCCACCCCCCATGCTCACAATCTACTCAGGAGATCTTGCCTCATTCCACCTTTTCTGGGTTACCATGCATATCTCGCTTAGGGTCCTTCCTGTTTCCCAGTTTCTCTAGAGTGGGGTTGTAGCCAGGAAAAAGAGAGGGGGGAGAAGAAGAGAAAGGAGGACATGGCAGAACAGGAAGGTTGAGTCAGGGGAAGAATAGAGGAGAGCTGGAAGAGAGATACCATAATAGAGGGAGTCATTTTAGGTTTGAGGAGAGATCTAGCACTAGTGAGATTTCCAGAGATCTACAAGGATGACACCAGCTGGCAAACTAAGCAATAGTGAAGAGACTACCTTAAATGGCCCTCCCTGATAATGAGTTTGACACTACCTTATGTGCCATCATAGAACCTCCATCCGGTGACAGATGGAAGCAGAGGCAGACACCCACAGCTAAAAACTAAACTGAACTCCTGGAACCCAGTGACAGAGAGGGAGGAGAGATGGGCAAATGGGTCAAGACTGGCTTGGTGAAACCCAGAGAAACAGCTGACCTGAACAAGGAGGAGATCTTGGACCCCAGACTGATGGCTGAGAGGCCAGAATGGGACTGATACAGATCCCCTGAAAGTGTGTGTCAATGAGGAGGCATAGGCAACCTAGGGGGCTTTGGGTAGTAGATCAGTATTTATCCCTGGCACACACATGGACTTTGCATACCCATTGCACTATGAGGGATGCTCTCTCAGCCTGGACACTTGGGGAAGGGTCTAGGCCCTGCCCTGAATGAAATGACAGACTCTGGAGATCCTCCATGGAGAGCCTCACCCTCCCTGGGGAATGGGGTGGGAATTGGGCAGGAGGCTGGGGGGGGAGGGGACTGGGGAGGAGGGGAGGGAGAGGGAGCTGGGACTGAAACGTGAAGCAAGCTTCTTTCTAATTTAAATAAAAATTAAAAAAAAGAAAAAAAAAGGCTAAAGTGAGCTGGGCAGTGGCGGCACATACCTTTAAACTCAGCATTTGGGAGGCGGATTTCTATGAGTTCGAAGCCAGTCTGGTCTACAAAGCTATACAGAGGAAACCATGTCTCGAAAAACAAAACAAAACAAACAAACAAACAAAAAAAGAAAACCATCAAAAGCAATTAAACTTCTGCAAAAGTACTTGCATTCTTCAAAATAGTTAAGATAAGGAAACAACTGACATCTCTGTCAATAGATGGATGAAAAAAGAAATTATAAGACATCAATCAAACTTGAATGAGATTTTTACAATCTGATTCCTTATTAATTTTTGACAGTTTAAAATGCATATTGGTTATTTGAGAAATTCACAGAATGTATTTTGCATATTCACTTCCCCTAACTCTTCCCAGATCTATCTCCCACCTCCCTACACACTCTCTAAAAAAAATAATCACAGCATATTAATTGTACAAAGTTTGTATCTCTAAAAAAAATAATCATAGCATATTAATTGTACAAAATCATGGATTTCACTATGGAAACTATATCACATTTATCACACAAATGAATCTTTGAAAACATCTAGCTAATGAAATAAACCAGAAACAGAAATAGAAATAGAAAACTCTTATATGACTATATGATCTCATTTTTTGTGGCATCTAAATATATGTACATTTCAAATGCATAGAAACAAAGAGTAGATCAGTGTGGTTACAGGTGGTGAGGGGTTAAGAGAAGTTATGAGTTAATGGGTACAAATTTGTAGTTTTCTAGGTCAAGAAAGAAGACAAGAGGCAGTATGCATGAAAAGGAAAGATGTATACACAGAACTGAACTAATTAGACTTATCAAATCAAAATTATACTGGAACAGAATCTACACCTACAGAGTACACATATCTTCAAGTACAGAAAGAATATCTACCAGCCCCTATACTGCATCTTAGAAATCATCATCCAGTTTCTAATACATTTTAACAGATAAACTTACACAGTGTTCCTGTTGCAGCCAGACAGAAAAAATAGGAAAACAAATGTTAAAAACAAAAACAGTCAGCTAAAAAAACCAAATCAGCCTGCCTCCCTTCTCATTCTTTACCTTTTAATGATGCAAA